CAGTGTTAAGACACAAAACTGTTAAAATATGGGGAACTGTTTTAAACCTCTGTGTTTTTATTTTGTTCAGCTGATTTTATACAGTTTAAGTGTTGTAGCCCTTGTATAAGGAGCATCAAAGTCAGACTGAGGAGTAGTCGTAGATGAAGGTTAAAAAACAGAAACTAAGGTAAGGGAAATGGTTTTTTTAAACCCATAGGTGCTTTAATTAGTTGCTCAGATGTTTTAGTACAGGTGTACTTAAGACTGTGTACACACTTGCCCTACGTTACTACATATAAAATGTTAATTTATGAACTGGTGATCAAGATGCCCTAAATGTTCAGTAGTTCTAAAAATAAACTACCAAGAAACCAGAAACCAGAAACTGTGATTCTTTCATTTCTAAAGAAACACGAACAGGTGTTTCAGATTACACCTTTGTAACCAACTCTGAAATAGACTGAAATGAAAACATACAGCACCATATTTAGTTTTACTTTTAAAGGGAACTTCTCAATAATATCACCTAGGCCTATCTATAAAGTTTCTCAGTGTAGAAATACTGATCTACTGAACTTCATGAATACAAGCCCAGACAGGGAAAAAGGTATTCCTCAATACTTAAGTAGTGACACAGTACAGGAGTGTTTGTATGGACTCTGATCCTTTTTGTTTTAGTTTTTCTATTCTCCAACATAAATCAAACCCAGCTGAAGGCTGAAAGTGTTATAACAAACCATAGTTTAACAAAAAAGTGGAATTAAAAAATTACACTCATTACATGTGGTAGAGCAGTGATAGCTTGAATATGCTCAGATAGTGTGTCCAAGGCTGGATCTGAGAAGTACCATTACATGTAGCTCCTTTAATTTAGGAGACCTCTCCTGATTACACTGTCCTGCCAAGGCACAAGACCTTGAGGTGACTAAAAAAATGCTTTAAAGTCATTTCGTGCCGCAATAGCAGCCCGAGATGCCCTTGCACCAGAGACCCATCCTGGATCCAAGAAGTTACTATCCCCTGCCACCTGCCGCCTCCATTCTCCTGCCAGGATGTCTCCTGATGCACTGGTGCTGTCGATGAAGTTTGGTGACAAATGATGGATAGGCCACACAGTTCATTCAGTGAATTTCAAGTGGTTTCCATATTCAAACACACCTTCTTAACCTGGTCACTAACTGGTGAGTTGAGTCATGTGGGTTTGTACAGGGAAATCACCAAACTGTGATGGATTCTGGCCCTCAAGACAAGAGCTTGAGAGACCCGTGGTGTCGAGAATACGTGACATCATTACACTCTCTTCTTGAGTATTTTCGTCATTAGAATTACTATGCTGAATATCTTTATGAGAAAACTGTACTAAAAAGTTATGTTTATGACATATACATAAAATATAATAACTTACCAGGATAGGGCCGCATGAGATTGGAGTGCAGTGGGAAAGCTGTGTCTCCAACAAATACATGTGGCACAGTGATGCTTGAGCCAGGTAGGTTGGCAGGTGGAGGTAAGCAAAGTGTTCCCTGTAACAGATTTGACCCAAACTTGCTTTCCTGGAACACACCACCAACACTTTCACATTCATAGGCTCCAATGTCAACCATGGTGAATCGATAATTTGCATCACATACTTCCATTAGGATGATGGAGTTTGCTCTTTTGTAGTTGAAAAAGTCCTCACCTGCCAGGGACATGTTTCCCATCAATACAACCCAAACAATTTGGGAAATTCCAAACCTTCCAAAATTCACAGGAAATGTCTTTCCACTCAGTGCCACTTGGAAAAGCAACAAAAGAGCTTCCCAAAGAGCCTTGGAGATCTCAGAAACTATGAGTGACACTGTGGTAGATCCAAGTTTATAGCTTGCAGCAACACTTCCGGAGGCTAAAATTCTCAGTGTGACAGCCAGCCTCTCAGAGAGTTTGACAGGGATGGCGTGGGTACTTGCAAAATATTTAAAATGCATTTCATCACCAATGTGTCGCATTGCAATTACAAGATTATATTCTCCAGTTTCTCACCTCCCTCTGTTAATTGGTTGCACAGACAATCTCCTCCTCTGTTTTCTTCTAAAACGTAAGAGCAAACACAACAGCTCCTCTTCCTCAAGCAACAGATCCTCAACCAGTGTGTTCATTTTCTGATAAACAATTTTTTCCTCTGCCTCAATCCATCAATGCCAAATCAGTATTTTTCACACAGGGCCACCTAGCGGATAGGAGAATATCGTCGCACCTCTGCTACGTGCCGCAAGTAGCATAAAACGTGTCTTGGTCGAGAGGTTCCACCATGTAAGGAGACTCTGCTGTCTAGACACACTAGGTTAGAGGGCGGGTGCTGCCCCCTGTATTTCTGGGAAGGTTAGCCCAGTGTAGTTAATTTTGCGTTGTGTGTTGGTAATTAGGTTAGATTTTAAAAACAAACAGCTTTGGTTAGTTTGTTTTACTCTGTTAATTTCTTTGGCACTGTCCACATTTTCAAGGTTAGCTCAGAGAATAGCTCAGCCCCAATACTGGTGTGTTGTACCGCTTGTTTATGTCTGTTTGTGCTTGTAAGTCCTACATAATTGTGCGTAGTCATTGTCTTGAATAAAATATTTTTTTGCTATATCCCTCCTCTCCTGCCAATCTCTCCACACTCACCAGTACTCCCATCATTCCTCCAAATTTACATCAGTGTATCTAGTTAATTTTTATTGCCCTAGACTGTAGCTCTGTAGTGTGGACGTAACAAGTGTGGGCTCCTCCAGGATGACTGTATTCTGTCTGTCTGTAAACCTCTCTCCCTCAGCTGAACCAAACATGAACTCGATAGCTTTGGCTTCTTGGGAATAAGCAGCTGATTACTGTCTTATGTCCCGCTGTTTATGATATCTGGATAGATGGAAAGTGAAAAAAGATTTTACTTTAAATGTCTTTGTACACGTTTCAAACAGACACGTTACATCTACACCACCCTGCAAATGACTCTTGAGGTGAGATACAAGATGTTTTACATTTTCGAACTCTTTTCTGCAGAACTCATGGGAACACTTTAAGGGAACAGAGACATTATGATTGAAAGCTGTCACTTTCCTCGTGTCTTGGTGTGCTCCTGTTACGTGCACGTTAAACAAATTATACAAGGCAAACCTCCTCCCACACGCTGGATATCCACATGGGGAATCGCCCGTGTAGCTCTTTCTGTGCAACCTACAATGCTGAACACGGCTATTATAGATAATATTTATTACAAGTTATTGCAGAAATTCTTTAGCCTGCCTCACATTTGGTCAGCTAGGGACAATCCTTTGTCATGTTGTTCACTCTGAACTGTCATGTCAGGATCTCCACGTCCATTGAAATGGATATTAGCCAACATGGTTCAATGAATAAATGAATACATGAATAAATGTTTAATTAAAGGCTCCATAATGTTGTATTCCGATTTACTCTGTGGAATTTGCTTGCTAGTTCTTTTCCTGAATATTCCTAGGCCAACTGCAAACATGAGAATTTTCATGTTCATTCATGTTTTTTTTCCGACTGTGTACTAGTAGTGGCTGTCTACATCATAGATAAGCTAACTGCTTGGTGTCTATTAAAGACCAGCAAAGGTTAGCATGTTTAACAGCAGCTCAAACAAAGCTTAAACTGAATAATAGACAGTTGAGCTGTATCCAAAAGCTGATGTCTCAGGGACCCTCATGACTCTGTTACCTTCTGTCTCTCCCTCTTAGTGAGGCTGTAATATCTAGACCTGCTGGAGTCTCTGGTGCTCTGTTAACCCTGTAATCTGTGATCAGTCACTCTTTACAGACCCATCCTGTGTGTCTGATGCTGTTGCTTCTTCTACCGTGATCTGGTGCCACTGCTCGCCAGCCTTGTGGACCGATTCAGCCTTCTGGACTGGCTGGACCACCATTGAGCTTCTCGCTGTACAACACTGTGTAAACCTCACCCTCATGAACTGACCCTCCTGCTGCTGCTGCATAAACTCAAACTACCTAATTAATCTTTGCTCCATCTGTTTTCCCTGTTTTGTATTCTAATATTTCATTCTAACACTGTTTGCTATCCGGTGTCGACCAGAGGAGGATGGGTTCCCCTTTTGAGTCTTGGTTCCTCTTGGATCCTCCATTTTATGAGGATCAAAGGATCTTTGTCACCTGAAGATATACATGCCTGTTTGTATGTTTTTGTTATGGTGTTATAAGGGTTGGTACTCATTGCTGTGTTTTTCTTAGTTTTGGTTTATACATGGTTTTACTGGAGTCTTCTTGGGGTGAAGCAGCAGGAGAGCCACCTTTACGCTGAGCTGGTTGTGCTTATTATATAAAAACATTGTTTCAGACCCTGGAAAACCTATTTGTTCATAACTATAAATACTCAGTTAATACAGTATCAATAAAAGATATTATAGACTGTTCCCAAAAAATCCTGCTGCACCCAACATTGGTGTAAATCAATGTAAATGCATTAAGATACTCCTGCAGTAAAAATAAATAGAAGTTGATGTCAAATCTTTATTTTTCAATCTGTTATTTAGAAACACAGGATCTCTTAATTACATCATTTGCATTATATTTATATTTAGTACATTTCCTGATCCTAGACACTCTTTCAGGCCTCAATAAAGAATTTATTATAGATATTTAAAACATTTCTCTCAAAAATCAGTTTGCACATTATGAATCTCCACACAACATTGTTAATGTAGTGGTATGATTAATACACACAATTCCATTAAACTAATTGTTACATTTTACACAAACAGTAATATCTGGGTAACTAAGGAATTGTAAATGAACACAGATTTATATTAGATTTTACAATTTCTTTGACCCCATCTTATCTACCATTTTACTGATGATCCATTCTGAAAATTTGATCTTCTTTACCTGATTAAAATCTGTCTCCAGAGTAGTTGGTAAGTGTGTGTGTTCATGTAGGTCAGTGAAACGGATCAGCATGTGGAATTGGAGCTTTCTGTGTTTTATTATTGTATAAACTTACTGTTATGAAGCTCCATGCTGCCTTTATTGCTGGGTGTCCTGTGATAGTCTGTGAGCGAGCATACACACATCCAGAACACAATTCAATAATCACTATGGAAACGCTCATTACTGATCCATTCCATCAGGGAAAATGAAAGACACTGAAGTGTGAAGCCTATTCATCTTTAAAATGGCAGTTTATCACATAAATTTAAAGAGAGACACATTTTAGTTTAATTTGACATAAAGAACACAGTTTAACTAAGTGACATATATATATATATGCTCTTTTGTCTCAACATTAAAGGGTTCATTATTGGGTTTGATCAAACTGGTCTTACCAGATTCAATATCTGTGGCTGTCTCCTTCATCTCAGTGTGTCCAAACCTGACCTCCAGTCTGACTGAACGATTAAAGCCTCTCCTAATGTCTGGCATTGACACTAATCTTCCCAATATTCCCATTTCACTACGTTCTACATTATGTCACTAAACGTAACAGCTCCTTTCAGAGCAGCGAACTGAGCATCAACAGGGCAGAGTACTGTACACTGTGAGCCAAACTTCTCTCTGACTGACTTATTCACATGTGGACTCAGAGCAAAGCCTCCAACTAAGAACAGATACCTGATCTTCAGGTTGGGTTTTCTCAGTATTTCTCTGATCAGGCGCTCTATTCCTCTGAGACTGTCATCATGTAGGGATCTCATCTTTTCCTGATACAGTATTATTGATCCGCTGTCCCAGTCAGCACCACTGATTCCACTGAAGTAATCTTCCATGCTTTTTGTTTTCTCTGCTGTGATTTGTAAGCTATTTGGGAGTGACACTAACACATTTCCTTCATAACGCTTACAGCCTGAAAAATCATACATTAACTTTTGTAGGTCAGTGGGATGATTTTCCTCAAACTCATCAAACACTTTATCAGAGAAAATCTCTCTGAGGAATGATCTGAAGTTATTGTCCACTGTCTGTCCACCCATGTCATTTGCTGATACGATGTACAGCTCCTTTAGACGACCTCCATCCATCACCTCATGAACTGTGATATCAATGGTTTCATCTAAAATGCAAAAGAACAAAAAGTCACATCCTACAATATTTACTCTGACTGTAAGAGCAGTTAAAATCCTCTGTAAGCTGGTTTATATTCATCAATTTGCAAATTTCTCTGTTTTTCATCAAATTAATCTCTGACACATCTGTACAATCAAACTCACAACAAGTCCAGATTTGAGAATACCCCATAAGAAAAATTAAGGATTTCAGCTGCTCAACTGCTTCAGTCTCACTCTGATTTCACCCTGGACTTAACCAGGTCTAGAAGATGAACCTGACATGAAGAGGAGATTCATTTAGAAGATTGCTTTCCGCTGGAGCAGGTTTAAAACCTGAGAAATGTTTGATTTGCAGTAAATATTCAAAATAATTGCCAATAATATAAATTACAAAACAACACAGTAATTATAATTAATAACTGCACATGTAAATATTGCAATAAAATGACATTTCTCAAGTTGTGCACAGGCACTTCAGTCAATGAATCAAAGGTTATTTAAACTAGGGGAGACCCTAATTGTGACAAGTCAACAGAATCCAGACACTCGCGGAGAGAAAGGGCTAAAGTTGATTTAATAGAGTTCGGCAAAGGCTTGGTCAAAAAACAGGCATGGGTCAAATCCAAACGACAAAGGCAAAACACAGCGATGATCATATCACCGTGCGAACAAACACCAAGGGGCTGGACAAACGGTAAGTCGAAAAACAGGCAGAACGGTCAAAACCAGTGATCAAAATGACAAGCAAAAGTACAAAAAGGGGTTTGGCAAAAAGGCAGAGTCCAGTAAACGAAGCAAAGGTCAAAAACACGGCAAACTATAGATCAGACAAAAACACTCAGCAAGTTCGAAACGAAACAATACCTCGAACTGAACCTCACTAAAGCGCGGGCTTATAAACTATCCTGCCTCGATCATATGACATAACACACAGGTAAAACAGGTATAAACAGACCGGAGCCCTAAAGGGGAGGGAACTGGGGGCGGAGTCTGTCAATCATATTTGCATCAACCAATTAAATAACTACTCTTGGCCGTCAATCACATTTTGCATTGGCCAACCGCAGATTATAACGAGCTGTCCGTCATTTCTTGCAATCGCCAATCTAAGGGTCTGTCTGGAGACCTGCACTCTCAGCCTGACCTGCACTCTCAGACTGACCTGCACTGCCAGCCATCAGCGCCGCTCTGACACCACAGGGCTTTTGTTGGGTTTATGGGGAAAAACAGTGAAACACGAACTGTTGGGCAACAGGAGTCACACTGAATGTATATTAATGCTGTCATACTGATTATGAGGTAATTAAATATGGAAACTTTCAAAATAAAACCTACCACGACGATAAAACATAATGTCAGGTTCATTCGCAGAAAAAAACAAACAGGCTACTGAAACTCATGAAAGCCAGGCTGAAAACGGTTTTGCTTCCTAACGGGAATTGGCTTGATGGTTGCCTTTAGAGACCTTTAGGAAACGATCACCTGCATATGGAATCAGTCCCAGAACAGCTGATTAAACGATCGGAATCCTTTACACTGTGATATTTATCCATCAGGAAAACACAAAAGACCATTAGCGACTACTGGACACCACCAGAAACCAACAGACTCTTTTAATGGGTTCTATGACTTTTTTCAGCAGGGAGGTATTAAATGTCTCTCTAGCCTTGTTCTGGACAGAAAATGGATTAAGTGATCAAATCGCTAAGCAGAAGCGGCCAAACGGTACCGTGTAATCTGGATGTTGTGAGAAGGGGAAATTCTGCAGACCGGAGACCTGAAATGATCATAAGCACAAAACACAGCAAACAGTTCCATTAGGAACCAAGTGGAATAACTTTTTGAGAACAAGCAAAGTTTAGGTGGAAACAGTGTTTGTATACACTCAGAAAAAGACACATACCACTCAGAACTGCATATGTGCACATATTTCTATACTGTGCTCATGTATTTACCCACAAAGTCAGGAAGAACATGCGCTATCAGTTCACTAATACTTTTATGTGCGATGGTCAGTCAGTGTTTGCATGAACTCCATCCTGCTTAACCAATAGTTATAATAATGTATTGATCTGAAATAAGAAATTGGGTGATATTTATGGCAACTTCCCATCTTCCATCTTCCGCGTGCCTGAACAGTATGTAACGCCTTTTTGCACTTTCCTTCAAACCATTGGCTGATGCATAAAATGAGTGACAGGTAATTCACATTTGTGATTGGCCAATGCACGTTTTGATTGACAGTCCATCTCTGTTATATGATTGGCCGATGCAAGAAATGATTGACAGTGTCTCCGCCCATTCGTTACGCCCACTGGTTCTCCGGGCAGATACATATACTTGGGCTCTGGGGAGCGCAAACGCTGATAGGAGCATGATAGTCCGTCCGAAGTCATGTGATCCCCTACGGTACTGTGGGTAATGGAATCCGTTAAGGTCTCCGAGTCAGAAGGAAGTTGTTTAGTCACGTTAAATTATTAATGTGACTAAACGTATTAAAGGTTATCTAAAATCAAGTAACACAGTTGTAAGCTGACTGAAGGTGGTTAGAGACACGAATGAGCGAGGCTTTACCCTGCGTTTACACCGGCAGTGGCGCGACACAGTGGTACTTTATGCAAAGCGGCGTAGCGAATACTAATAGGAATTCAGCCATTAGCAGTGTAGTACGTATCTCCACCACTCCGCTCCATTTTTATTCCTAGATAATTGTTCCTACTAGAGGTAGAATAGAGGTGGCGATGCTTTTGCTGCAAAAAAGACAGTAACAAAGACCAAATACCTTTTTCCTCACACACTGACTGCACAGACACAGGGATTAAAAAAAAAAATAAAAGCACACAAGGATTGTTATTTTTAGCAGGAACACGTCTGATTTGTTCTGGGCATCAGTGAAACCATGGCAACGAACGGTCCGCTGGAGTTTAGAAACACAGGTGATGAGCGATCGGTGACAAAAGGCGAAAAGTCGCTGCCGTTGTGAACGCAGGGTTAGAGTATCCTGTAATGAACTCCAGCTCACTGATGCTGCAGCTAAAAGCAGATTTTCCCAGGTGAGTAAAAGCTCTCTGCACCTGAACTCATGGCGCCCTAACGGGACACTTCACCAAGCTAAAACATTTATTATAACCTGGTGTACGACCACTACACTGTTCTTGTTTGACACAGGATTTCAGCTGCTCAACATTTCGGGGGCTCATTTGTCATATTTTTCATTTTATAATGCCTCAAATGTTATCAGTGGTGACAGGTCTGGACAGCAGGCAGGTCAGTTTAGCACCCGGACTCTTTTAATATGGAGCAATGCTGCTGTAATACATGCAGAATGTGGTTTTACATTGTCTTGCTGAAATAATCAAGGCCTTCCCTGAAAAAGACGTCATCTGGATGGCAGCATATGTTGCTTCAAAATCTGCATATATACCCAATCATGTTACTGATCTGTTGTCAGTTAACCTACTTAGCTGTGAGATGTTCCACCAGGTGTTTTTAAAGCATTATGCAAATTTACCAGCCTTTTGTTGCTCCTGTCCAAATATTTTTGAAACATGTTGCTGGCATTAAATTCAAAATGGGCATATATTTTTCAAAAAACAACACATTTCTCAGTTTCAGCATTTCATTTGTTCTCTTTATAGTATTAAATATAAGGTTTACATGATTTGCACATCATAAAATTCAGTTTTTATTTAAATTCAGCACAGCGTCTCAGCTTTTTTGGAAAGAGGGTTGTGTTTAGTAGTGGGAATGTGATTCTTTTCTGTACAACCTTCCAATAAAAGCACTATTTTTGACTCTCTTACCATTCTTCTCACTGTGTGTGCAGGTAAGATGATCATGTGTCCTCTCCCAGGCAGGTTCACTCCAACTACTCCAGTTGTTTTTAACCTCTTAATGATTGGCCTAACAGTGGATTTGGGCATTTTCAGGCATGTTGTTTTTATAGCCACTGCCTGATTTATGAAGGGCAGCCACTTTTGTCTTATTTCATTTGACAATTCTCCGATCTTTCACATCTTGATGTATGAAAGAATTTGGCCTCTGTGAAACCTCATATTTGTACTCCAGTGAAACAGGACATCATGGATGACTGCTTAAGAGATCCTGAACATTCAGGAGGTGAAAGAAGTGAAATGACTTGGAACAGGCTTGAGTTATATTTTGTTCATAAGAATTTCAAGGGGTGCCAATAATTATGTGTAGTTTTGTAAATGTTTTTTTCTTGGACTACATTTACTTTGATTAAAGGTCAGATTTCACTAATATTTTCTGTGAGATTTAGCTAATTAACCACAAAGAGGTTTTACATTATGTTTTTTAACCAAGACTGAGCTGACAGTATTAAAGAAACATACATGTTGTATTTCTATGTCTGTACTTCTCTGTGCTCTAATCCTGTGGATCTGAGTGCTTCAGTGGTCTCTCATTCAGAGAAACTGCTGATGGCCTTTAATTAATTTAAATTTGCTTTGTGAATATATGTGAATATCTATGTTGGTGAGACTGAACCATATTAGCTTGTAAAACCAGAGCAAGATGTATTTCCATATTGTTGGATACACTGTGATTTGAGAAACATATCCAGAAAATACAAAAGGTCACATTATTATCACATTATTATTATCACATTATTATTGGAGAACAGCAAATTAATATTTATTGTTCAGGAGTTGTTTAGGGTTAATGCAGCAGGGACTTACTCAAGTCCATTAAATTCCAAAAAATAGCTCCTGAATAAATATGATCTTCATATTGTGGTGAGGGCGTAGAAGACGTGGGAAACAAAGCACTTCAAATGAGTGATCTTCTACAGAACCCGCTGAACGGCCGGGATAGCAGGCAGCCCCCGTACAGTCACATATTCCGTGATGACGACAGGCACCAACACCACACAGCCCAACACACAGCCCAACACAGAACACTGAACACAGGTAGGACTAATAAAATCCATAACAACAACTTATTTACAGTTTAATGTTCCTCCTGTGCAAATCTGGAGCTTCCCGAAATGCTCCACATGTGGCCACACCTTTTCCAGGTCCATGGCCAGCAGCGGGACACCACAATATTTTAAATTAAATATTAAATATATTAAATAAAAAACATTTGACACTGTGTGATGATTTTAATTTTTTAAAAATCTTTCTGAACCTCAAAAACTTAAATATGGACTTACATACCTCCACAGTCCACCACCATGTACTGTGTTCCTGGAACATCTTCTATCGTCTTTGATTCTTCAAGATCTCCTTCCATGAAGCCTTCAATTGGTAATTTTTTACACCACACACAGGCAGCTTCTGATTCCAGAATTACAATCAGTCTTTCAGCATCAGACTCTGCCACCAGACCAGCCTAAAAACATAGATATGATTTAATATAAATCCAGAAGTACAATCAGTCTTTCAGGATCAGATTCTCCAGACCAGCCTAAACACATAAAAATATGTTTTATTATAAATCCAGAAAAAAGTCATTCTTTCAGGATCAGATTCTCCACACGAGCCAAAACACATAAAGATATGTTTCATTATTTATTCAGAACTACAATCACTCTTTCAAGATCAGATTCTCCAGACCAGTCTAAACACATAAAGATATGTTTTAATATAAATCCAGAACTACAGTCAGTCTTTCAGGATCAGATTCTCCAGACCAGCCTGAACACATAAAGATATGTTTTAATAGAAATCCAGAAAAAACAGTCATTCTTTCAGAATCAGATTCTGAGGAGTTTAAACTCTAACCAGCATAGCTCTGATTCCCCAGTGCCCACCAGCCTCCTCACCAAAGCAGTCATGAAAGCAGTCGGGCACAGATCACCAAAACCTCATTGTTTTTAAGCTAATAATTTAGTCCAGTACAGAATTAATAACAACAGTAAAACAGTGCCTGTCCATTTCTCTGATATATGATCTCACTCACCTCTGTAGCTGCTTCTCTCATGAACGGTTTAACTGCAGAGCTCCAAATGACTGGAACTGTCAGAATCCATGTAGCGTCAGAGGCAGAGAAATTCCTTCCAGCTGTGTGCTTTCCGATCGTCTCCAGGGCATGATCTTTAATGAACCTCAGACTCTCAGAGAAAACTTTCATAGCTCTCATTTCTTTACCACTTCTGTCTCTTATCTTCAGCTCTCTGTGTAACTCCTGAGAAATAAACACATGTACAGTAATCAGTTCTATCGCTGAGCAACTCTTCACTCCTATAGCTTTAAATATAAAACAGCAACACAGAAGAATCATTAATCATACCTTTCCACAGAGCTCCATTTTGAAGTTGTCGAAGTAGTACAGCCTCTGTGCCTCATTTCTTGATGTCTGCCTGGTGTATGTCATTACAGCATCATAACCAAACTTTAAAAACTCTCCATCTTCATCAAACAGAATACAGGTAGGTGTTTGGGGGGTATCATAACCATATTCTAAACCCCATTTAGGACTCCGAATCTGTTTTCTTGCTCTAAATTGGAAACTGTATCCACTGAATGATGCGCCGATCTGAATAGCAATAGAAAGTGCTGTGTCTGCAAACAGAACAGAAACACGTCTGATAAGAATCAGACCAGTCAGTGAAATGAAACAAACACACTTTTATTAGCATAAAGTTCACTTTGGCAGTTCAGACCTCAGACAAAGTATCCATCTGTTGGGTCTGAAAGGACCAGAGGCTTCTTCATCACTTTAATAACTTGTAAATGTATTAATTTATTTTTTGTACATCTTTTGTTCTTTCACAATGGGATTATGAGTTACCCATTAAAATCAGGAGTCAGTTACACCAGCAAGTCTTAACTAAAGTTAACTAAACTTAATTTAAAAAGAAAAAAAGGTCATCATGGGAGGGCCCAGACATCCAGAAACATAGTTTGGGGTTTGTGACCCCTCCTTCTCAAGTTTTAAAATGTAGACATCCAACAGCTCTTTCAAAATCTCATACTCAAAAAAGAAACATGTCTCCTCTGCATGCTTTGCTTTTAACACACTCATCAAGTACTGTTGATACGTTAGTATAAGTGAAGTCAGCTGCTTAAAGTCCCTGGGAGCACAGTGTAAATGATGAAAAATATTTATATGACTATGACTAAAATTGAGTATTACATTGAACATCCAGCACAAATGAAATGGATAAAAAAGAAAGGAATCTAACAAAACACAGCTTAAAAATCCCTAATCAGATGTATCAGATCTGAGGAATGTCAGAGCATGACTTAATACTCTGTTGAGCATGTGTGATTGACAGCCCTGGAGAAATGAGTGATATGATCTCTGCATGTACAGGTGGTGTTGTAGCCTTTGTTTGTGTTGTAGCTTTCTCATGGTAAGCTTCTCTGACTTTAGCACAGAGAGGCGATGGGGAAACATAGTCACCGTATTGTGAAAGCTGTGTAGGCAGGACAAAACATCAGCCATCTGAGTGAAAACACTGCAGACGAAAGAAACGTTTCCTAAGATCATCTCAGAGAAATAAAGCAGATCTCAGTATTATATTAACAATCACTGGTTTCTGAGCTGTTTCTCCTGAACCTCCTCAGGAGAAAAGAGGAGATCCACTCATTCCAAGATGGCGCCACTCATTCCAAGATGGCGCCGAGTATGGCTGCCGTGTTGCGAGCTCCCGCTTACTTTTGCAGTTTTTTGTTGTTTTTGTGTTTGTTTTTAACTCTTTTTGCACTAAATGTTACTGGTTTTATCACCTACGACCGACAAACACTTCTGGAAATCAGATCGTCGATCACTCACCGGAAACCGGACTTTGAGTTCCATAACGCCGATCCTTTGTTTGCTAACACTGGAGAGGCGCCACTCATCTGGGCCGCCCGGCCACGCACCCGTCGAAGACGCCGGAAAAGAGGCAAGAGAGCCGGCGTGCTCGTCAGACTCAGACGACGTGCCCATCGGCCGCCTCTTCCCACCATATTACTGACTAACGTGCAGTCCTTGGAAAACAAGTTGTGTGAGCTTCATGCACGGGTCGCCTTCCAGCGAGAGATCCGGGACTGCAGCGTTATCTGCCTCACAGAAACGTGGTTATCCGATGAGGTCCCTGATAATGCCATCGAACCCGCCGGGTTCTCTCTGCACCGCGCCGATAGAACCAAGCAGCTCTCCGGGAAAAGCAAAGGAGGAGGTGTATGTTTTCTGATCAATAACGCTTGGTGTGATCGGAGGAATGTACATTTCATCGAGTCTTTCTGCTCGCCGGATTTGGAATTTCTCATCGTGTTTTGCCGGCCGGCGTGGCTGCCCCGTGAGATAATGGGACTCTGTCTGGCCGCGGTGTACATCCCCCCGCAGGCGGACTCGGACCTCGCGCTCGGGAAGCTACACGAGGCTATCAGCAAGCAGATGACCGCGCGCCCGGAGGCTGCACTTATTGTTGCGGGGGACTTTAATCGGAATAACCTGCGAACCTACTGTCCGACATTATTCCAGCACGTAACATGTTTCACTCGGAAAGACAGGATTTTAGACCATGTTTACTCCAGCATCCGGAACTGTTACAAATCCCTCCCCCAACCCCCGTTCGGCAAATCAGATCACTCCTCCATCCTGCTCCTGCCCACCTATAGGCAGAAGCTGAAACGGGGGCCGGTCACTACCAGGGAGGTGCGCCGCTGGTCTGACCAATCAGATGCTATGCTGCAGGATTGTTTTGATCATGTGGACTGGGAAATGTTCCGTGATTCGTCGGGCAGCGTGGACGAGTACGCAGACACAGTCACCGCCTTCATACGCAAGTGTGTGGATGACGTAGTGCCCTGCAGACAAGTCCGCGTTTACCCCAATCAGAAGCCCTGGCTGAACTGTGAGGTTCGCTCCGCCCTCAGCGCACGCAGCGCTGCATTCAGAGCGGGAAATACGGAGGAGTACAAGCAATCCAACTACGCTCTCCGTAAATCCATCAGAGCAGCTAAACGTGCGTACAGAATGAAAGTGGAAGCACAGTTCAACACAGCCAACACACGAAGCTTATGGCAGGGGTTAAATACAATCTCTGACTATAAAACTGCCTCTCGCACTCTGCCCAGTACCAGCGCTGATCTGCCGGACGAGCTTAATAACTTCTACGCTCGCTTCGACAGAATTCCCGCAGCACCACTGGAGAGCGCCCCGCCCACCGCTGATCCCAACCCCCCCTCCGTCTCCGTAGCTGATGTGTGCAAAGCCTTCAAGAGGGTGAACCCACGCAAGTCAGCAGGACCAGATGGCATTCCCGGGAGAGTGCTTAAAGCCTGCTACAGGGAACTAGCAGGAGTTTTTGCAGACATCTATAACACCTCACTGTCTCTCTCGGTCATGCCAGCTAGTTTCATACTAGCCACCATTGTGCCAGTTCCAAAGACAGCTAGTATTACCTGTCTGAACGACTGGTGACCTGTTGCCCTGACCTCCATCGTAAGCAAATGCTTTGAGAGGCTGGTCAGGGATATCATCTGTTCCTCACTGCCTGCCACCCTGGACCCACTGCAATTTGCATATAGGCGGAATAGATCCACCGACGATGCAATCGCCCTGACCCTGCACACTGCCCTCTCCCACCTGGAAAAGAAGGACACGTATGTGAGAATGCTGTTTGTAGACTACAGTTCAGCATTCAACACAATCGTTCCTTCGAGGCTCGACTGCAAGCTCCGGGATCTGGGTCTGAACAGCACACTGTGCAGCTGGATCCTGAACTTCCTGACGGACCGACGGCAGGTGGTAAGGATGGGAAGTATCACATCCTCCTCTTTGACCCTCAACATCGGAGCCCCCCAGGGTTGTGTGCTCAGCCCGCTCCTGTACTCCCTGTACACCCATGACTGCACTGCTAGACACAGCTCCAACGTCATCATAAAGTTTGCTGACGACACAACAGTTGTGGGCCTGATCTCCAACAGCGATGAATCGGCCTACAGAGAGGAGGTTAAAATCCTGGAAAACTGGTGCCAGGAGAATAACCTCTCTCTAAACGTCAGTAAGACCAAGGAGCTGATCGTGGACTTCAGGAAGCAGGAGAGAGTACACCCATCGATTTCCATCAATGGGACTGCGGTAGAGAGGGTCAGCAGCTTTAAGTTTCTCGGTGTTCACATCAGCGAGGACCTGACATGGGCAGTGCACACCTCACAGGTGGTGAAGAAGGCCCACCAGCACCTCTACTTCCTCAGAAGGCTGAGGAGGTTTGGCCTGAACCCCAGCATCCTTAAGACCTTCTACACCTGCACTGTGGAAAGCATCCTGACGGGCAGCATCACCACCTGGTACGGGAACTGTACTGTTCGTGAGAGGAAATCTCTGCAGAGGGTGGTGCGGACAGCACAGTCCATCACCGGGGTTCAGCTCCCTAACCTATTGGATTTATACACCAGTCGCTGCCTGAGGAAATCCAGAAGGATTATGAAGGACCCCTCCCATCCTAGTCACTGTCTGTTCTCTCAGCTGCCGAGTGGTAGGAGGCTCAGAAGCTTAAAAGCCAGAACCAGTCGGCTCAAAGACAGCTTCTTCCCCCATGCAACCAGGCTATTGAACAGCCAGTAATCACTGCTCTGCCCAGCCCAACCCTTCCCATTACACGTACGTGCACCCACTGTACTCCCGCACTTTACTTGCATAGCTGGACTTTGAATACCTATCCAAAGACAATACTCTCCCCCTGCGCTTCCACTTAACTTCCTGTACCTTGCACTTTACTGAATACTCTGCCACCTACTGTACCATCTTCTACCTCCACACCTAGTGTGATTATTTGCACATCCACATAGCATTGTAATATCCATTACTATATATAGTATATAGTTGATTATACCCACCCTACATTCCCAGTGCAATATTATATGTCTCGGTGCAATATTATTATTTTTAAGTTATTGTGTAAGATTATATGTATATATTTTAGTTAAATTGGTTTTATCTATTCTTCTATCCTATCTATAGTTTTGTTTATCTATGTGTAAATACTGTTCTCTGCATAATTTGTGGAACTCGCACTCAAGTTTTTCACTCACCTGTGTCCCTGTACTCTTGTGATGTGACAATAAATCTGATTTGATTTGATTTGATTTGAGATTAACATCAGCGTCTCACTGTGAGACGTTCTGGTGATGAAGGAGAAAAGCGTGAGTTCTCCCTCTGCACTGACGGACTGCTGAGAGGGTTCTGTGATCTAGAACAGAGCTGTATAAGAGAACGAGGAGATCTCACACTTCTTATGGAGATATCACTCAGCTGAGACGGGGCTGAGACGAGTCAGACTCTAAAGAGTTAATCAGCATGTGGTACAACATTTTGATCAAAGAGAGCAAATCTGAATTTTATTTCTCAGGAGCCGAATTTCAGAAAAAGAAGAAAACGGCTTCAGTCTCACTCTGATTTCACCCTGGACTTAATCAGAACTAGAAGAAGAACCTGACATGAAGAGGAGATTCATTTAGATATTTCTCTCTGGAACTGCTTATGTACCAACTACCCAAGCTGAGGACCACCAGGTTTACATCAAAATAGGAGGATTTTTATTGACATATGTAAAGTGTGTGTTAGCATT